CCTCACTTTTAATCAAGAGATACAAGCCATGGAGCCTGTAGGTACCTGGAGCAAGGATGCTTGGCTCAAGATGCAGCATTTCATGTATGGACATGCAGTTTCCACAGGCTGCATCTCCATGTTAAGGTACCATCTACACTGGGCCTGCAAGTAAGGGGAGTATAATTTAAAATTCCATACTTTGGCTTTCCTTGCAAGTATAAATGACTCCCCAGACTGATAAGATACCAGAAGAGCAATAATTCTGAATGACTGAAGAAATGCCTTAGATCCTTCTCTCCACTGATAGCCTCCACATCTCTTCTTGATTCCCTGGCACTCCCCTTTTCTTGTGATGATATTCAGAGTTCAGATGTTGACGTTTTGGAAATTATCCTTATTATCTCTTGTTTGTATTGCATTAGCACCGAGGAATGCCGGTCCTGGACCAGGACTCCACTGTGCTAGGCGCTATACAAACACAGAACCAGCCGATGAGCCCTGCCCCAGGGAGTTGATCATGACTCAGTTCGTGCCTAAATCTTTTGAGTCCCTCCACACAAAGAAGGGAAAAATTAGAACCAGGTGCTATGACACCAGAGGCTTTTCTATTATCCCTCCTCCACACACACACCCCTTCTTCAATTGTAATAATTAATTAAATGGCTAAGGAAATCTGATTACATGAAACCATCTCAAGGTTGCTGCTCATACTCAGAAGACAGTGGAAGCTGTATCCGTGAAAGATGCTATTTAAACCACTATTGAACAGAGGCACATACAGTACAACAGGTTTATGAAGAAGTTGATTTGTAGGTTAATTAAATAGTAATATTCTATTGTACAACACTTGAGACTCAATAAATACAGAGAAGATAAAATTCTAGCAGGGGTGCCTGGTGAACTGAATTAATCAAAAGGACAAGCAATAGCTGCATATCTTATTGATAAGAATTCATTAGATAGATAGATAGATAGATAGATCTGAAAATACAAAGTCCCATAGCTAGGTATTATCATTATTTTATGCTGTGTTGTTATAGCCATGTTGGTCCCAGGACATTAGAGAGATGAGGTGGGCCAGGTAATATCTTTTATTGAAGCAACTTCTATCAGTGAGAGAGACAAACTCTCGAGCTTGCACAGAGCTCTTACAAGATATTAATAAAAGTTATTACCTCACCCACCTTGTCTCGCAGGTATTGTCATTGCTAACTTATTACAAACAAGACAAAGCAGCCTGATGTCTGATGGATGCTCTTTTGCAATCCACTGACTGATAGAGACCATGCCCAACAATGGGAGATCCTAGGTACACATTGGAGAGAAGAAGAATGAGATAAGCTTGTAAACTGCCTATTCTTTTCGGATGTCATTTCTAGTTAATTACAGTCACTTGCGCTGGGTATTCTCTGCAATCATCAGGCATATCCCTGGGTTCTGTTAGCCTGATGGACACTTTCCAGTCACCAACTTTTCAGATGCAAATGACGTGCTCCTGTCTAGTGTCTTCATGCAAAGCAACCCCCAGTATCCCCACTTTGCCAGTGGCCAGAAAAAGAGCAAGAAGGGCTTGTTTTACAATCCACCTCCAGGATGCAACAAGATACTGCTCATGGCCCTCCAGGGAACAACTGCCAGGGGAGAGAGCACTCACGCTCATGCCACCCGTCGGGCATTAAGGCCTCGATCCAAAGCCTGTACAAATTGGAAAAATCATCATTCCTGTATTTTTCCACTAGGGTCTTCACTGATAGTAAATGATGCCTATGGAAACAGCATCAGTTCATTGCCAGGACACTTCTGTGGTTGACTCATGTACCTCTGGTCAGAACTTCTCCTTAAACTCTTATTTTCAGCTCCCCAAATACTTGGGGTTTTCCACTGGGCCTTTTATCTGTGCAAAGTTTATCTATTCAAAGTTCATAGGCCTCAAGCGTTATGCTAACTTGCTGAAGCTAGTATCTTTCAGGATATAGGCTTGTAGGTTTCTTGCATTACTGCTGGACATAATTCAAAGCAGAATACAATGCAAAGAAGTAAATATAATAAAGGCAAACTAGCCCACTGGGCTACGATAGCAGTGAATATTAACAATGGCAAACTAGCCAACTGGGCTACACTGGACAACATGTACAACACCACATACTGAGTATATCACCACACAGGAGCACAGCAGTGAATCGCTTATGCGGGGCAATGGGGCCAGTGAAGGGCTTAAGTGCAGCCCACAGAGTCTGAGGGAGCCCATGGCTGCCCTTCTCTTCAGTATGAAAATGAAGCCCCTTTAGGCTACTGTTCCCAGCTCCCATCATGCAGCATAGCTGGGCTGCTTGAATTCGTATTCAACACTGTATGCTGGGATCTGTAGTCCCCGAGGGCAGCTCCTCCCTACTAAAGAAAAGCATGGATGCAATCTCTTTATTTCCAGCAAATTACATGCAAACTTGGGGCTGCTGACAAGTTGCCAATGAGTCCCTTCATTGGACACAGTTACAGAGCCCTAGTGTCAAGACTAAAAGTGGGGAAAGCCATCAGCAACTTCTTGCCTCCAACAGGCAAGTGTGGGAGAAAGCTCAGTGATTCAGCAGCATCTGAAGTCACTGGAGTTTAGTCTAGTTGTACACCAGTGTGACTAAGATCAGAGTCTGCCCCTGTGTGACCCACATAAATGTGACATACCAAGATGTGCACATGCACTATGTAGGCTTGCAGTGCGACCACCCGGGGATTACAGTGAACCTGGAAACTCCATTCATGTAGCAAAGCAGAATAATAGCAATACTCCCTTGCACTGCTGTTGTATCTTGAGTCCAAGAATCCCAAAGCACGTTAGGAACATGAATGAGTTCAGCCCCGCACCAGTCCTGTGACAGAGTAGGCAGACAGAAAGTCCTGAATAGTTTAGTTGTGCAATCAGCAATTCTGCTTATAGCAAAACTTAGAACGAAGTTCTGTGCAGAAATATGACTCCTCTACAGGAGGGTTTCACTGTGTAGAAAAAGTTCTGCACAGTGCATGGACCGTCCTCTGCCTATATCTGAGCAACCCTCCTGCCTTCTGTTGACCTCAGTGGGGTTATAGCTGGGTAACCCAAGGTGAAATCCATCTCTTTTTCCCCACATGGAACAGGGGCGATGTATACAAACACCCACGCCAGAATCCAATTTAAAATCCACTTACCAAACGACCCGACTCAACCATAGTGTTAATCCGCATCTTCCATAAAATCTCCCTCTAATCTGATAAAACACCAGGGGGCATGTACTCTTCCGAATGGGCACCTACAATCCCCATCAATATTAAGAGTAATTATGAACAGCTATTAAGAGGAGGTCTAGATTGGGGCATGTGTGAGTGTTTGGGCCATTTATCTATCTTTGGAGCATGTGCAGCATGCTCATCACCCTTTTCTCCTCCAAAGAGTTTCAGCCCAGATTTGAGTTCAGATTTGAAGACTGAACAGGGGAGTCTTATTTTAGTGTAACTGTTTTGCCCAGCAGCCCTCAATTCTGGTCCATTCTCTGAGCTGCGTGTCCTGTGTTTGAATGCATTTGATGGTCCTATTCCACTTGCACTTCTTTACACCTTCCAACTCAGCCCCAAATTTCATGGTTACAAAATGAGCTTCCATAAAATGGGGTGATTCCCCTGAGCCAGGGCTGAGAGGAACATGAATGGGTCATAATGGAGGTGACCATCCCCCTGTCTCTCCAAGGGACCAATTCAATGCCAGGTGAAGTTAATGGGAGTCTTTCTGTGGTCTCCTGCAGGTATTGAACTGCCCCCCCAAAAAGGGTAGTACAGGAAGTCCCTGGATTGAATGGACATGAAGAACAAATTCCTCTCGCATCCAGGAAGAGAGACGCCCTTCTGAGGTAAGGTTTCAGGCTACAGTAGTGCCAATGGGAACCCCCAAATTGAACTGAGCCTGGAGACTGGAATCCCCCCTACCCAAAAACACACACTGCAGGCTGGGACCAGCATCCACTGGGGAAGTTGTATGCCCCAGGGAAGACTAACATGCCCAAAGTGTGGTTCCAAGGAGAGCATTAGTCTCCAGTGCTCTCATTTCCCAAACCACTAAGTCAAACTTAGCATTAAAGTAAAGAACAGAGCAGGGAGTTTCCCCTGTTGAATCTGAGCTTTCGACACCTTCCTGCATGGTTCACAATAAGCTTCCATAATGCCTGTAATGATCCGGGTGTTGGGGACACTGAGGCAAAGGTCTAAGGAGCAAAAGTGGTGTTTCTACACCGCATTAGAAAGCAGCATGGTTGCAACTGAGTGGAGTCCCACCCTCAGTAACTGAACAGAGCAGAGTGCAGCCATCCTTCCCAGAGAGATCTGGGCTCAGCATTTATTGAAAAAAGGAACCAAGGATCTTCTAATTGTCCAACATTCTGCCCTAGCGACTACACCCAGATGCTCAGGTGCTGTAAATCAGCATCTCTGTCTCCAATGAAATCAATGGACTGATGCAGATTTACACCAGCTGAGGATCTGGCCCTTTAAGGATTGTTGCCTAAAAACACACATACATTGCACAAAATAGCCCCAAAAAACTTTGCTAGACCGAGCCCCTCTCCTTCAGCTGAGACACATACAAACTCTCCAAGCCAAAAGGAAACCTCAGCAGGTTCAGGTAAATATCACAGTACGGTCATGTTTAGCTATTTTAACTATGTGCTTCTGGAAAAGCCATCAGTAAGCTCAGCTCTGCCTTGCTGATATTGTTGTTTGGGGTTTATTTATTTTCCCTGCTTCCAAGATGCTCTGTCTGCTTCAGAGCCCTGTTAATGAATAGGTTCAACTGATTTACATATACGTGTGCACAAATATACCACAACGGAACAATATTCTTCTCGTCATGAAGCGGATACATTTCCCTCTGTGGAAGAAACAGCCCATGGAGTTTGGAATTAGCCAAATCAAATTGCCATGGTGGAAGATCAATGGGCTGAGCTCCATGGAACAAAGAATCCTGCCTCTCTGCCTTTGCTAGGCAGGTACAGACTTACCTTATGAGGTTCTGTAAGCCTTGTTTGCTGGAATTCCTCCTCAGGATTGCACTGGTCATTGTGGAAGAGGCTGATCTCAGGGCAGGCTCACAGATCCTGGCTGCTAAACCTCCTTTCCCTACTTTTTTTAATTTTCCTTTTAAAAAAAATAAATAAAAATAATCCTCTCCGTCTCTCTCTCTTCAGGAAGTTCTGCAGCTGGTTTCCTTTTGTTTCTCTAAGCCCCCCTGTTCAGCCCCCCTCTTGTCTCCTCCACCTCTACCTCCTCCACAGCCTAGTGGAAATGTCAGAGAAAAATCTTTCAGAGAGCAGCTTTGTAGTCCGAGGCAAAGCAGGGTCCCCTCCCTGCTCCCATCTGACTGCTGAGTGAGCTCAATGCAAAGCTTAAACGTCTCCTTTGCTCTAAAGGCTATTCTTCTTCTCTTTGGCTATCTGTTTCTATCTCTCCTCTCTTACACTCCTTCTGGTTTATGCTTCGTTGTTTCTCATCTTTTTCTCTCCTTCTGTTCCCCCTCCCCCACTCCTCATTTTCCTTCTCTTTTTCTTCCCTTTCCGATCTGTTTCTTTCTGCATTAACTAATTGCATAAATTAGGAACAAAAGCCACTCAGGGACACAAAACCTGATTAGGGGAAAGATAGCAGAGGACAGATTTACAACTCTGGAGCCAGATCTTGAGCTCGTGTAAATCAGCAGCAATCCATTAAAATCAATGGCGCAACTCCAGTTTGCACCAGCTGAGAATCTGACCCATAATCTAAATCTACTCTTAAAAATTAATTGCAAGTCTCAGCAACTTGCAAAGGGGTTGCAATGCTTTGTGGTTAAAAATGCTGTATCAAAGAATGAAGTGCAATATGATCCTGTTTGCATCAGGCTGATTCAGAGTACTGCATCTGAGAAGGCAATGCAGGACTAGTGGACAGAGCACTGGCCTGGGATTCAGGACAACTAGGTTCTGTTCCCATCTCTACTGCTGACTTGCTGGGTGAGCTTGGGTCAATCACTTCCACTCTCTGTGCCTCAGTTTCTCCATCCACAAAATGGGAGTGATGAGACTGGCCTCCTTCATAAAGTGCTTTGCAATCTACTGAAAAGTGTTGAATCAGAGTTAGGTGTCATTATTATGATGTCAACTGGGTGGTCTTGGATAGGGCTCTGGACTATGCCTCGGAACCTGACGTGCATTCTACTTCTGGCTCTGCCCCATCCCGCCGAGTGATGTTGGACAAGTTACTGTGCCTCTGTTTCCCCTCCCATCCTGAGTCAGTCTTGTCCGTTTAGATTGTCAGCTCAGTGGGGCAGGAAGTTTGTGTACAGTCCTTTAGTCGGAGGCATTGATGTGCCACTATAATACAAAGAAGAAGAGAGGACTGTGTCTGTGGGAGCATAGGCTTAGCAACCAATAACGACTGAGATCTAATCCCATCTTTGATATTCACTTGTTGGGCGATAGTGGGCAGGTCAAGTAACCTCTCTACCTCAGTTTCCCCATCCGTGGAAAGGGAATATCAACCCCACCTCTCTAAAAGGTGTCTTGTGAGAATTATAAAGTGTCCTTATTATCAGGACCAACATGGTTTGAGATTTTTTACTTGCCACTCTCAGTGCATCTCCTAAAATGTGCGTATGTTTTCTTCGGATGAGTAACGCTGGACTATTTACTGTAGCTCGGTTATTTGAAATGTGGATGGCTGATAACTGCCCACGTAATAAATGAAGAAATATTAGTAAAGAGAAACTGCACTGAAATAAGTACAGATGGGTATTAAATGTTTAAAAAAACCCACCACTTTAAAAATGGGTTTCTTTGTTAATTTTTTATGTATTTACCAAACAGCCCATAAATGATGAGAAATAATAAAAGCAGCTAAGCACAGTGGTTGCTCTTGCACTAGGGTCACGGATGGACTATGTGCTGGAGTATATTTATTTTACACTTCTAAATTCTGTGAGGCTAGGTGGAACTAGGAGAGCAATCAGCAAAGGTCTCTAATATTCAAAAAGATAAAGGCCCTGCCCCTGCAAGCATGTATACGTGTGTTCGGCTTTAAGCAGACTCACTCCCACTGACTTCATTGGGACTGCTCACAGACTTAAAGTTAAGCACATGTCCAAGCATTTGCAGGCTCAGAGCCTATGGTCTTTTGAAGTCACTGGCCAAATGCCCAATGGCTTCCTGCAAGATGGAGGGGTGATGAGAGGGCCTGATCCAGCAAACTTTCATTGATTTCAATGAGGCAGGGTCCAGCTCTTTGTATGGGGCTGACCATCCAGATGGAACCATTCTAGGGGTTTTATAAGGGACTGGTGGTGAATGCGGGCCGAGACAAAGGGGTGATGAAGCTAACAACTATGGCATGGCCAGAACAACTGCTGTTAAATGAAATCACAGCTCTTATTATAGCCAGAGATGCCACACAATCCGTAGCAAACTCAGGAGGGGCAGAGAGGAATGTGAAAGACTTGGGTTTGATAACTATGGGGAGGCTGGGAGCACATGCTTGCCATGGGAGGTGGACGTGGGCTCACCAGGAGGCATATGAGGCCAGATCCTCACTTGGTGTAAACTGGCACAGAGACATTTGCTTCAGTGGAGCTATGCTGATTTACACCAGCTGAGGACTGGGTCCAGAGACAATTATCTTGCCCACATCCCTCCACTCAATAAACACCAGTGCCTGGTGAAAAAGAAGCCAAAGAAATAGCCCACTGTTAAATATATAAGAGTTTTCAAACCAAAACTTTTAGCCTAGAGGAGGAGGTAGAGTCCAGTGGTGCTAAAATCCTGCACCATAGTCAATTCTGCATAGAAGCTAGAAGTGGGTGCCCTTCTATAAACAACCCCCTTCCCCGTAAGGGCTCATGTCCTCAGGTAGTGCAGAAGCCTAAATGCAGTGGAGGATGTGGGTGTTTGCTTGCTGTATGGCAGATGGATTTCCTGAGCCAGCAGGGCATCTAGGATCAAGGAGAAGTCGGTCAGATTAGCTATCTTAAGGGAAGTGGGGCAGGGGTGAAAGGTGGGAGGGGAGATAAGATCTTTGGAATGAACTGAGGAGGGTGACTCAAAGTAACTGGAGGGTGGGGGCAGAATACACCATGATATGCAAAGGGGGTGGGGGGGTTACACTTCCCATTGCATTACACAGGGTACGGGAATTCCCAGGTATCACTCCCTGATTGCAAATTCCCCAGGCTGGTGTGATGGGTTTGGGATGCTCCTCCTATAGTGAAGATTAATCAACATCCCTTCCCTTTCATCTCTGTCAGAGAATGCAGGGAGATCAGGTGGGAGGAACACACGTGTCCAGATGTGGGAGGGTCACACAGGACCCCACCGACGAGGGCCAGGGGAGTGCTTCTGTTTAAAAGCCTGCATCTCCCAGACCCGTCTCTCCAGGTGCGAAAGGAAAATGCTAGTGATTGCACTTGGGGATGATCCATTCCCCTTGACTTAATTCAACTGGGGATGCTGCAACTTTATTTTAAAAATTAAAAAAAAAAATCACAAAAGTTATGAGCAAGGGGGATCCCTATCTTACCCCCTCACAGCTCGACATGGTTAGCTAGCCAGAGGCAATTGTGCAGGGGAAGCCCTCAGCCCCACTCTGTGTAGGATAGGCAGTTTCTCTCCTCCCCAACCACCACCACCACAGCTCAAGATGGAGCATAGCTGCTTCAACATGATTTATACTTCCATTCAAAGGCAGCTAGGGCTTAGCATCAGCCGTGGTCCCATCTGCCCAGCTCCTACAGCACTGCCCACATAAACCTCAGGGTGCCATTCTAGAAACAGCAGTGATGCTGCGGTAAGAAAAAGACACCAACCAAAAAAAAAGACAATTCGTTTTCCTGCTGGAGTTTAACAAAAAATCAATCAAAGAAATCCCTGCAGCGGTGTGGTGCATTTAGCACAAGACAAGACAGGAACAATAACACGGGGCAGTTTGCTAGTGCCTAGCATGCGTCCTCTAAGCCAGAGGCTCATAAAGAACTTTCCAGCAACAGACAAAAAGGGAAGGCTTTAAAGGTGAGTGGGATGGGACGGAAATGACTCAGTTCTGTTGCCCTGGGATGGAGGGAGGGAGTCCCAGAGAGATAGGGCTGCACCAGTTCTCATTAATGACACAATCGCTCTGCTATGTAGCCCGGGTTGCAAAATCATTTTGGAGGCTAAAGTATGTCTAGCAAAAAACAAGACTATAGCAAAGAAATGCAACCAGAGTGATTTGCTCTAGCACCGTTGCAATCAAAGGTCCCAGTCCAGGACCTTGCTGGGCATGAGCATGTAATCTGGCCACCTAGGATCCCAATGTTTTAGGGGCACCTCCAGCCCAGCTGCCCTGCCCTGCTGTGCACCAACACAGTTTCTGGAGATCTGTTGCTTTAAGTATACCCCACACACCACTGTCTGAGAGGGCTGACACCCCCCTGGGCAGATTCTGGCTGCCTGACCCCCTAGCACAGCTTTTGGCAGGGGGGGCTGCCCCTTTAAGTGTGCTCCCTCTGCACCCGTAGCCAGGAGCCACTCCCCCAGTACAGCTCCAGCCAGAACAGTAAAATGTCTAGTGCCAGTTCAGGGCCCAGTCCTTGAAGATCCTGAGCACCGTCAACTCCCAGAGATGGGAGCAGAGGGTGCTCAGCACCTGACAGGATCAGCCCCAGCATTTGTGGAATGTGCCTGTTCACAGTGTTGGGATGCCAAACCTGCTGCGATCATTTCCCCTCTGCCCTGCCTTTCCACTGACTTCAACAGGCCTTGGATCAGGCCCCAGCACTGTGGAGCATGGGAGTGACCTGGATTTTTAAGCATGAGTGGAATTATTGATGAAGCAGCACGGGCTGCTTCAGAATGACTAGAAAACATGGGGATGAATTGAAAGGCACTTCACTTCGATGGAGGGGGAGGAAGCCACCTTTGTGTTTCCCCACAGTCTGAGGCAGCTGGCCCTGTCCAAGCTCTGGTTTCACTTAGAGCAGCCTGGAGGCTGCTCTAGCATATGTTCTACTTCTCACAGCCCCTTGCAAGAGCACAAAATGCCCATTGTTCAAATGCACTCAACTACACCCCTTTTCTGTCCCTCCAGGAGGGGTGGGAGTGGGGCCAGGATAGGGCTGCTCTACTCCAGCAGAGGTTCCCCTTTACACAGACCATATTTCATGTCCTTTAAGACCCCCTTACACCACAAGAGAAGCATGAAGGATCTTGGGCGCTTTGGAGAATCGGGCCCTAGAACTTTAATTTTTTCAGATTAGCCCATTTGCTGTGTTCCCTCAAGTCCCGTGGAAGACGTGTCCTGGGCATCTTTTTTTCTTCCCCATGGCTCCTTTTCAGAAGCTCTTCATGCTTGTTTCCACTCTTCACTGACTACACTGAGTCCATTTCCACAGGAACTCTGGGTAAAGAAATTGCACCCTAACTGCATCTTCAGCGAGACCCTTGGTCAACTTCAACCTGTGCCTGGTGGTTCTTGTGTTAGGTGCCAGCTCGAATAGTCCAGTCGCAGTGA